TCTGCCTCTCTCTCCAATCCCTGCGGTTTCTCTCTCCTCCTTCCCAGTCACCCTGCTTGAGAGTTGGACGCACTTGCAATCTCACTTCTTTATTTCTTGTCTCTTTTGCATGCACTCCAGTTGGCTTTTGACCCCACCAAAATGTTCTTGGTGAGGTCATCAACTGTCATTGTTCAAGCCATTGAACAGCTTCCAGTCTTTTCTTAAAAATCTTTAGCACTTGAGGCAGCTGACACCAGCACTCTGTGAAATGTCGTCTTCACTTGCCTTCCATAGCTCAGGACTCGCTGGTTCCTCTCCAGCCCCTCTGCTCCTCCGTGGTCCCTGGGCAGCTCCTCCTCTCTGCCTTACTCTTAGTGTGGGTGGTCCTCAGGGTCCAGGCTCCGGCTTTGTTTCTTCTTCTTGCCCAGCTGTCTCTGAGTAATTTCCCACTCTCCCTAGGTTTTGGTTGCAACTCATTCCCACACCTCTAACAAATCCCCCTGCCTGTCCAACCTTCCCACTTAAGCTTCCACAAAAGTCCACAAGCTCAGCATGCACCAAACTGAATTAGGCCCCTCCCCAGCCCGGAGCCTGCCACTCTCCCTGAGGCCGCACCTCCCTGCAGGCCACCACAGTCCACCCGGTTACCCACCAGAAGTGCTGGCATCATGCTTTGCCTCCTTCCTTTTGCTGACCCCCTGAACACAACCACTCAGCAATACCTACCAATCCTCACTCTGAAATAGTAAAGTCAGTCCCTTCTCTCACAGTGCCGCTCCTGATTCAGCCACTGTGTTTCTCTGTTTGGGGTATGTATATATGTATTTATTTATTTTTGCATGAAGTAAAGTTGTAGCCCCACACAGGTCTGTTTGCCTTCAGTTGTGTCCGTATCTATTAATAATCCAATCTCCCCACATTGCAGCCAGAGGAATCCATTTAAAATATTAATCTGCTCTTGCTAATTTCCTCTTAAAACCCTACCACGCTAAAAATAATAGTAAGTTTTTTACAAATTTCCATGGATTTCCTGGTGCATGAAGTTGTCAACTTGGCTTCTGAGTCCCTTTGTGATGCAACTTCTCTCCCACCACATTCCATACCACATCCTCTCCTCTGGGCCCCAGAAGCTTTGAACTCCTTGAGAATACCCCAGATATTCCAGACTGGCTCCACATCTCTGCTCGTGCTTGTCCCTTTGCTTGCAATGCTCTTTCCATCTTCCCTAGTCTTCCTTCAAGTCTCAGCATAGCTGATACCTCTTCTGTACTTATCACTCTGTGCAGTAAAGAACTTGTCTGTTTCCCCCATTAGACTTTAAGTCCCTTCAAAATACAGACTGTGTTTGGTTCACTCATATATATTCCCAGCACCCAGCATGTTTCCTGGCACATAGTAGGCACTCAATAAATATTTAATGAATAATGCAATAAATGATAGAATTTTCATTGAATACCACCATTTCAAAGAGTAAGAATTTAAATAGTGAAGTCAACACTTTCAAACACAATTTTAAGATGTTTCATCGATTATAATTAATTTAAAACCCCTAATGCCTAAAAGCATACTTTCTCTATAAGTGAAAACCCACCCCCCACTTCTTCTACCCGCCCCAACCATACCTCCCAACCCCACCGCAAGAAAATAGTACCCGGACTTCAAGTTTCTTTTCTTTATTCAAGTCAGTTTTTTTAACCTTCGTAAATCCATTCATCCCACCCGAGAATTGAGTCATGTTGCCAATATAGTAGTGTCTGCAAAATCCTATGATATTTTCTAGAAATGTTATGGTACCATTATGTTGAAACCTCACTTAAATTCTCTACCCAAATGATGTGTCTAAAGTGCTAAAGCTTAGTTTTCTCAATAGAATATAATAGTTAAATTAATTTATTTGTTAAAAATCAAACTGTCCTAAGATTTCAGAACACTAATGCACTCATTCCACAAACATTTGTGCATTCATTATGTACCTAGCACGATGCTTAGCACTGATGACATAAAAAGCTTTTTAAAAATTAATTAGTTCTTCCTGCAATAATTTAAGTCTGTTTTGAGTCAGAGATTGGAACATGCAACAGATTTATAATGTAATGAAGCAATTGCTAAGAGAGTTTTTGCATACACTACTTTGCATATACTACTACCAAGAGAAATAAGACCAATTCTTCCAAAAGAAAGCTTCACAGAGAAAAGGATATTTAAATTAAGTCCTGAAAACATAAACCAGAATTCATTAAGAAGAGGGGTAAGAAGGGTATCTCGAGGAGAAGGAACAGCATGTGCAAAGGCCTAGAGGTAGAAATGAACATAGTAGGTTCCAGAAGGGCAGGAGGGTGAGCTGAAAAGTGGTGATATTCAGAGGCAGTTTGAGAGGAGCAGAGAAGAAAACAAACCTCTGCCAAGACCACATAGCACCTAAAGAAAGAGTTCAATTTTGTCTTAAATTATGAGTTTCTTCCTTAAATGGGGTGGTCTGAGCTTCACTCAGCAGATCAGGACTTGGATTTTGCAGAAATTGAATGTCTCAGGGATTTCATTTGTCAGGGAAATCTAGAAAGATGGTTTAGGTTGCTGGTTACTTTCTTTTGTGTGACAGAAATTCCTGGATTTGTCTTTGGCTAAACCATGTGTGTTATATAGGTATTCTGTGCCCACTTCCAGACTTCTGTTGGCCCTCACTGCGTTAAAAGAAAGCCACAAGCACAGCTCTCCAGAGTGACTTCCCCTCATTAAATGATTCTAACCTCAATCATGTTTCCTTGGTGCTACTGACATTCTTTTGATCTAAGCTGTTTCTCAGTTTAGAGAAATAACATTGACCTAAGAACTATGTTGTAGAAAAGCAATTCTCAAACCTTTTGGTCTCAGGGCCACTTTATACTCTTAAAAATTATTGAGGACCCTGAAGAGTTTTTATTTATGTGGGTTATAGATATCTATATGTCACACAGTGGAAATTAGAATTGATAAAATTTTGAAATATTTATTAATTATTACCAGGTAACTATTATAAAACCATTATGTGTTACCATAAGCCAATTTTAACAAAACATGAACATTTTAACATTAAAAAATAGTTATATTTTCTAAAACAAATAATTCGTGGAGAAAAGTGGTATTATTTTACAGTTTTTCCAGATCTCTAATGTCTAGCTTAGTAGAAAATAAATTGGAATCTCACATCTGCCTCTGAGTTTAATCTGTGGTGATATCACAGGTCATGTAATGTCTGGAAAACTCTAAACACATGACAGAATGAGAGTGAAAAAGGCAAATAATGTCTTAATATTGTTACAAAACTAATTTTAACATTGCAGATCTTTTGAGACGGTCTGAGATCACACTAGTGGTTCCCAGACCACATCTGAGATCCTCTGCCACAGAAGTCTTAAAATGCAATGTAGAAAGATAGGAGTTTATAAAAATGTATAAGTTTATAAAAGTTAGCAGATAGAATATTAAGGCAGAAGCCAGTATGTTGATAACGACTTCAGACCTGTGTAACAAGTGTCGCCACTGAGAAAAATGGAGAATTAAGGAAAACGTGATTTATTGGTCCACTTATTTATTAATTAAAATTAATTTTTATCAGTTTTTAAACATTCAAAATTTCCTCCCTTTAAAGAAAAACAAACTTGAGTTTTATCTTTTTTATCCTTCACTCTAACCGGAAAATAGACTGTAAAAGAGCTAGAAAATGAACCACCAATTAGGCAACTCAAGAAAAAAGGAAAGACACCTGGAGTTCATGCTTTCTAGCCCCGTTACCTGGAACAAGTCACAACTTTTCTATTCTCAGTTTCTGGACCTATAAAAGGGCCTTCCTCCCCCTTAGACATGTGGATAATTTGAGATATGCAATGGGCATGTTAGCTTCCAAACTCTAAATCCCTCTATAAACGTTATTTATTAGGATGATGATATTATTATGATTGTAAGACTGCTCAAGGGAGAGATAAACCTTACCCCCCTTTAAGTGGAGAGATTGCCCTCCATTCTTCCCTCCTCGTTTGTGTGTCCAAAGTCCTCCTGCAATTAAGTTCTTGCAAAGCTGCCTCTGGGAAGGCCCCAGATGAGCAGTGTAATCTAAGCTCTGAGATTCCCAAGGCTAAACACAATTACTCTAATACATTTGCTGTCAGATTACTCCTTAACGCACTTCCAAAGGAGGAGAGACACTGCCAAACACAAGTTCAGGGGAAAGCATAAACACAGCTTCCTTCTCCCCCAGCCTCCAAGGAAATCCTCTAATAATATTAAGCCAAGAAGAATTATTGCAGCAAAGAGTGCAGCTTCCATGGACATGTCTTCTGTAAAGCCACAAGCTTCAGCAAGCATGATTGATGGTGAAGTACATTTTCATTAGTTCAGGTCCCCAACACACTTCTGAAGTTGTAGAATGCTGTTTAGACAAAGATCAGGAATGAATTGTACATGTGACATAATCATGACCTGGAAAAGACCCAATGGGTAGGAAATTTTAGTGGAAAGTCACAGAAAGAAAAAAGCAACCAGACGTAACTTGGCTAAATTGGGCAACATGAGTGTAAGATTAAACCTTGGCATGTTTAGAAAATTCCCAGTCCCAAGTCAATAAAACTGGGGTCATGAGAATTCTCCATACTTCACCATCTGTGTTTATCAACCCACCCAGCTTCCTCCCAGCCCTAGAAAAACATTGTTTGGGGGGGGGGGAGGATAATTCTTTAGCAATAAAACATTTAAATTTCACCTCAAATAAAGTTTTATTTCAAAATCTGGGGAGAAATTTCAACTCTAATGTATTCCAGGATATTTTGATTTAAGTCAAGTCATTTTAGACAAATAATATGGCCAAAACCATAGATAATTTCATCTCCCTTTCTGTGTATATAAAATAAGCCTCTTGCCTTCTACTCAAATAATGACTAACATGTTAATAAATAATAAATAGAATATTACTTTTATAAATAAAATATTAATGTGATTTTATAATAAGTATCTCTATTTGTCGGTCCTTTTTCCTTTCCGTCTAGCTCTGAAGGCCTCACCTTCTAAGAAACGTTGTAATTCCATCGCCGCCTTAAAGGCGACCTCGCAGGAGATTGTGTCCTCGATTAGCCCGGAATGGAAGGACGAGAAGCGAGATTTGCTGACGGAAGGACAAAGTTTTAGCAGCCTTGATGAAGAAGGTAAAGATACGTAACGTTAAAAGAGAGAAAAGAAAAAGTTCTTATAATTTATTTACACAAGTAATGTATATTCACAGTAGAAAAATTAGAAAATACCTGCTCTCAGAAGTGAAGCCCATGAATTAAATTTTTTAAAGGGTTATATGAGTATATAGTATGATATAGTTCATATAAATTTTAAATACCACATAAACAATACACTTTATAGGGCTTGTGGTAAAAAAAAATTAGAAAATACTAAAATATTCAAAAAGAAAAAAATTTATAGGCCGGGCGTGATGGCTCACGCCTGTAATCCTAGCACTTTGGGAGGCCGAGGCGGGTGGATTGCTCAAGGTCAGGAGTTCGAAACCAGCCTGAGCGAGACCCCGTCTCTACCAAAAATAGAAATAAATTAATTGACCAACTAAAAATATATATACAAAAAAAAAAAAATTAGCCGGGCATGGTGGTGCGTGCCTGTAGTCCCAGCTACTCTACTCGGGAGGCTGAGGCAGTAGGATCGCTGAGTCCCGGAGATTGAGGTTGCTGTGAGCCAGGCTGACGCCACGGCACTCACTCTAGCCTGGACAACAAAGTGAGACTCTGTCTCAAAAAAAAAAAACAACACAAAATTTACAATCCCACAACCTGATGAGAACAAATATTAACATTTTGTTGTTTTTACTTCTAGGCCTTATTCTATGCATGTACGCACACACACACACAATGAAACAATAAGTTGTCTCTTCATTTATATAGGTCTTCTGTAATGAATTTAAATAAAATTTTATAATATTCTCCTTGTGTGGCATATATACATATCTTTTGTTAGATTTATTCCTTGGATAGACACAGAGATATTGATGTAGATTTTTTTTGTTGTCTTTCAAAATAGTATCCTTTTTTAAGAATTGGGTTTTCTGGCTGTTTGTTGCTACTACATAGACCTCACGTCTCTTTTTTTCTCTTTCTTTTTTATTTGTTGGCTAGGACTTCTGGTACAATGATGAATAGAAGCGGTGATTGTAGGCAGCCTTGCCCTGTCCTGATTTTAAAGGGAATGCTTTGTATGTTTCATTGTTGAAAAAGAAGTTTGCTGTATTTGATACCCATAATCCAATCAAGGAAGTTCTTTTCTTATTCCTAGCTTGATAAAAGTTTTTTTTAAATCAAGAATGAGTATTGAATTTTATCAAATACTTTTCTCTATCTACTAAATTGATCATTCGTTTTTTTCTCTTCTAATCCAATAAAGGGAAATGACATTTTAGATTTTTCTATCAGTATATTCTTTTGAGAATCCCAGTATTTCCTGAAAATGTCCTCCACTTTCTGTAGAAGATAAGACCTCTTCTAGGGGCTTCCTTTGCCTTAGAGTCTTTAGAATAGGTTGTTATTTCTATCCCTTCTTCTGTAGCACTTATTTATATATGATATGTTGGATTTCTTTCTGTCTCACCTTCCCATAAACCAACTTTTACTCAGAGTCAGTGAACTGCTGGCTCCCATTCCTGGCAGACACCCACCCCCACTAAGCTAACCTGCACCAGTGTTTCACCCACCAGACTACCTGGCTTTCCGATAGAACACATAAAACTATAGGTGTCTGCAGCCTGAGAAATAGGATAAATTTATTTTTAAACTGTGTTAGTTAAGCTTTCAAATAGTATGCCCAATATAATCTCTTAGGTTAAAGCAGTGGATCCAGTTGTTAGTCTGAAGAAAAAAAAAAAAGTACTGTATAATAAATACACTACCTAGTATCCAGAAAGTCTGGAAACATGGGAAGTAGTGCACATATTATATATTTTTTTTCAGATGAACCATTGGACCTGTGATTTCAAATTTAGAGATATTCCTAAAAAGGCCTCTGAAGGTCAAAGAAAAACCTATGGAGTATATTCTTTGAAAATGTAACACACTATCATAAAATGAGTTTATCTTCACGATAAACTTCTCTTCATGTACAATGTCCGGCCTCTTCATAATGCTCTGTACTTGGGGACTTCCCTGTCATAGTGCACCACGTCAACACCAAATTTTCTCTAGTTCCTAGCCATTTGTTTTCTGGCATTCTCAGTATGTTCAGGTTATACTCTTCTTCTACTGCCATGTAACACATTACCCCACTAACTTCACAGCTAAAAATAATACCCTTTTAGTAGCTGACAGTTCTTCAAGTCAGAAGACTGGTTACAGCTCACCTGGGTTCTCTGCTCAGAGTCTCAAAAGCTGAAGTCAAGGCATCAGCTAAGCTGAGTTCTTCTCTGGAGATGCCGGAGGAGAATCCCCTTCCAAGCTCATCCATGTCGTTGGCAGAATTCAGCTCTTTGCTGTGGTTGGGCCAAGGTCTCCACTTCTTTGCCGTCTGACTGCCAAGGGCCATGCTCAGCCTGGAGACCATCCACATTCCTCACCATGTCTCCTCTCCATCTCCAAACAGAGAATTTCTTGCCTTGTCCCCCAACACTCGAATCTCTGACTTCTTCTGTCCTCTAGTCCCAGTTTTAAAGGGTCATGTGATTAGGTCAGCCTCCCCTGGGTGACCTCCCCTTTGACTAACTCAAAGTAACCTTAGTTTACATCTGCAAAATGTCTTTTGCCAGGTCACATAAAAAATAATCACAGGAGTAATAGTTCGTCCTATTCACAAGTTCCACCACAATCAAAGGGAGATTATGCAAGGCTGCAAGTCATTGGGGGTGATCCTAGAATTGTGCCTACTCCCCTGGTTTTAGAAAAACACTGAAGGATATAGAAGCACGAGGAGACATTTCTTCAAAGAGCTGCTCCTCAGGGGTTGAGGAATCAGTTGCCCAATGTCTAGATGATGTGTGAACTGGAACTAACTGACAAGACAGATGACATTTTTCTATCTTATACCACTCGGGTTGTGTCTGGTTCATGAAATAAAACTGGTATGCCCCAAACCCATGTCTTCATTAGGGGTTCAAAGTCCAGCTCCATCTGCCTTATAATTAGTGGCAATTCATTGGAACCTGATGTCAGATTATTTTTCAGACCCAGTTTGCAGTGTTTTGGAGAGTTTTCATCTTTTCTCTGTAATTGATGAGAAGTTGAGAGTATATTGAAGATTACAAGCTAAGTGTCATATTAAATTGAAGCCTTTCTCGTTTTTGAAGGTTGAGCACTTTGGCTATTCCTGATTTTATATGATATCCATCACTGTAGTTCTTTCTTTTCACTTGTATCAGAGATAGAGCTCCACCATCCCAATGTGTTGTTCATTTCCCAGACCAGAGTCCAACCCTTCCTGTGCTTGCCTCAGTTTCCCTCCATGCCTCTCCCCACCCCACCATGTATACCCTTCAAATCAAAAAAAAAAAAAAAAAATCTAAAACTTCATACTCACGTAATAATGTCTGTAGGGTCATATTCTATTTACACTTAGAAAATACCTCATTTTGAATTGTTGTGTCCATAAAGGAATATCAGAAACACCTTAGGTTTATATTTGTATCTATTATCATCTGTTTTAGTTCAATTTGAGGGAAAGATGAAAAAGAATCCAACAGGCTCCAGAGAGATGGACGTGGGTCACTGTTCAGTCTTGAACATTCCTCTTTCCTGACAAAGATGGGCTCTTGCAAAAGTATTTTCTTGGGCCCCTATATTTTAAAGAAGAGTTTTCTCGTTTTTTTATAGGCAGCCTTGCTGTTAAAATATGTCAAGAAGAACCCTGGATAATGTTCAAAACTATGTAGCACTCTGGGAGGCTCAGGAAGGAGGATCTCTTGAGATCAGGAATTCAAGACTTGCTCACTCTGAGCAAGAGTGAGACTCTGTCCCTACCAAAAAATAGAAAAAATGAGTCTGGCATAGTGGTGCATGCCTATAGTCCCAGCTGAAGCAGGAGGATCCCTTGAGCCCAGGAGTTTGAGGTTGCAATGAGTTATGATCACGCCACTGCACTCTAGCCCAGGCAACAGAACAAGACTGTGTCTCCAAAAAAAAAAATTTATGGGCTCAAATAGGGTTAAGGAATAGCTGGCTGTTAGTCTGTTGAAGTATTTGTTTCCTGGCTCTTGGAAAGTCTGAGTTCTTAGATCTAAACTGAGAATCATAGCTATGTGCATATCTCAGGCAGGGCAAAGCAGGTTCATTCTTTGTTTATCCACTTGCCAGTCATCCTTTTAATCTCTGTAGAATTATCTCCTTAACTTCCTAGGAGTTTTTTATATGCCATCTTTTGAAATAGTAAATCACTTTATTAGGTTTTTAAAAGAACATTCATAATGCCATTTCCGCAAACCATTTTGTAAATTAATGCAATTTCTTTTCTCTTTAACCTGTTTGCAAGGAGCTATTTTACATTTCTGCTGTAGTTCAGAGGAGTGCAATTAATTCATAATTTAATTTGCAGCATGATATGTAAAATGAATGCTTTGGACTCATTTAAATGATGATAGATACCCAAGCTGCATTTATTGCTGAGATTTGTGAGGGGATGTATTGCTTCCATTCCCCAGCCCTGGGATCCCGACACAGGCCAGACCTGGTGCCCAGCACCCCGTCACTGTTTGAAGCTGCTTCCTTGGCGACCACGATTTCATCTTCTTCTTTGTACGTCAATGAACATTATCCACACGACAGGACTACGCTTTATTCAAACAGGTAATGCTTAGCGCGATCAAATTACCAATTGGTCTGTTAGCATGTCACCACCTGGCCTAAACCAGAGTCTCTGAATGAGAACATGTTGTCTCTAACAACTGGGATGTGCCTGTCACCTGCCTGGTGAGTAGGAGAGAGAGAGAACACGCGTGATTTTTACTGTGGCGAAAGTGCTTCTGAGAAAAAAAAAAACCCTCATGTTTTTTTCTTTACAGTTAATCATTATGTCATGTTGAAATTATATACTTGGCTCTATGGGAGAAGATAAATCTTTCATCGCTTTTATTTTAGGAATTTCTTAGGAATAGATTTTTTTAAAGCAAGTACTCTTGGTTAATATTAAACGGATAGCTGCAAAGACATTTTCGTGTTCTTTTTTGATAGATGTGTTTGACCTCAGTGACTTTGGTAAACAGAATAATGCCCCCGCCCCCACCAAAACTTGTCCACGTCCTAATTCCTGGAACCTGTGAATATGTTACCTTATTTGGCAAAGAAACTTTGCAGATGTGCTTAAATTAAGTATACTGAGGTGGCAAGAGTATCCTGAATTATCCAGATAGGTCCAGTGTAATCACAGAGTCCTCATAAGAGAAAGGCAGGAGGGTCAAAATCAGAAAAGATATATCACCAGAAGCAGAGGTCAGAGGGGCAGAAGAATTTGAAGACACTACTCTGCTGGCTTTGAAATGGAGGAAGGGGCCATGAACCAAGGAATTCAGGCAGCCTCTAGAAGCTGAACAGGCAAGAAAATATGTTGCCCCCTAGACCCTCCACAAAGGAACACAGTCCTGCTCACAGCTGGGATTTTAGGACTTCTCACCCTCAGAGCTGTAAGAAAATAAATTTGTATTGTTTTAAGCCACCAAGCTGCACGCCTGTAATCCTAGCACTCTGGGAGGCCGAGGCTGGTGGATCCCTCAAGATCAGGAGTTCGAAACGAGCCTGAGCAAGAGTGAGACCCGTTCTCTACTAAAAATAGAAAGAAATTAATTGGACAGCTAAAAATACATAGAAAAAATTAGCCAGGCATGGTGATGCATGCCTGTAGTCCCAGCTACTCGGGAGGCTGAGGCAGAAGGATCGCTTGAGCCCAGGAGTTGGAGGTTGCTGTGAGCTAGGCTGACGGCACTCTAGCCCAGGAAAGACAGTGAGACTCTGAGTCAAAAAAAAAAAAAAAAAAACAGCCACCAAGCTGGTAATTTCTCACAGCAACAATAGGAAGCTAATACTGTGACTCTCAAAGTTTTAATGTGGGTTTAAATATTGGGGTAATTTACTGAAATTTCCTAGGCAAAACAGTAATTTTTTTACTTGAGAATATTTAAACAAAATATTCTTGAACATTGGTTCTAGTGATAGAAAGTGACATCTTTATAAAGAGATCACAACATTGTCTACGGAATTCACTGTTTTATTGTCTGTTTTTATATATTTGATACATAGTTTTATAACTAACTTTAATTCCAAAAGAGGGACTTATAGATATAGGCTCTCAATAATTACCTGTTAACTGTTGAACTAGTTCTTGTTGAAGTCCAGCTGTCAAGGATCAAGATCAGATTTATGCAGGTGAAGTGTTTCTTATACTGTAAGTCATTTTCCACCTTCAGACTAAAAGCTTGGGTTACTTCCAGAAAGAGGAGTCAATATTGTAGATATTTATTTTTAACATATGCACATCTATAGAGGTGAGCTTGGTCTTTTGGCAAGTTAAAGTTTAGTCGTTGAACCTGCTATGGTAACTCTTTCTTATTGCTGTTCCTTCCTTTCTCAGCCAAATAAAAGATTAGGCAGCCACTCTAGGTCCAGAAAAGTGGAACCAGTTGCAAGGTGAGCTACAGATCTTAGCAGGGCCAGAGTTTGGATTGTTTGGCTGAAAGGACCAACTAATAAGGCTATATTATAAATCAATTAACTCACCTGAACTATATAAAAATCATTTGATTTGGTTAGCTTCCTTGGGCTGGAGAAATTTAAAAATGATTTAAATTACTATGTGATACCTAATATTAATATGCACCTTGCATGTTTAAATTTGATATGTAAATTAGTCAAGCAACAAACAGTCTTTCCTATCTGTGTAGCACAGCTGAACACATGGGTCCACATAAAGTTCTTTTGCTCTCAAATATAAATAGCAGCTCTCAAAAGACAGGTGGAAAATCACAGGAAGTTCTTAGCAAGGTCAAGAACAATTCTCATGCAAAGCTGTGGTGGTTTCTTGCAGTGTGCTACTGAGGTTATTATTAGGGGCGTATAATTGGATGTGCTCTTAAAACATTTACTGAAATTTTCAGCACAGAAATAAAAGTACTTTTTGTTCTTTTGGTGGCAGTAGTGGTTGTTGTGAAGTATGAAGTCTCTTGGCCAAAGTTATTAAACCTTCAGTATCCATGAGATTTCCTCGGGGTCTGGCACCACCTCTTCCTGACTCTCTGTGTGCTTCCCTGCCAGCCTAGAAGCTTCTTCTGCATGCTCCCAGAGCTGTGCTGTAATTCTTGGTACCTTTATTTATGCTGATACTGGGTAGCATATAGATTTGGAGGGGAGAAATAAAAAAAAATAATGTACCTATATTTTTCCCTTTCTTTGAAATATTTATTTAAAACAAGCGAGTTATTTTAAATAAATCTTCGGCATTGTACCTCCAAGTTGCAATTTGGTATATTTAGCCATCAGTCAGGGTTTGATTGCAAGAACCAGAAACCACGTCTTTTTTTTTTTTTTTTTGAGACAGACTCTCACTCCGTTGCCCAGGCTAGAGTGTCATGGCATCAGCCTAGCTCACAGCAACCTCAAACTCTTGGGCTCAAGCGATCCTCCTGCCTCAGCCTCCCGAGTAGCTGGGACTACAGGCATGCACCACCATGCCTGGCTAATTTTTTCTATATATTTTTAGTTGGCCAATTAATTTCTTTCTATTTTTTAGTAGAGACGGGGTCTCTCGCTTGCTCAGGCTGGTTTCGAACTCCTGACCTTGACCGGTCCTCCCGCCTCGGCCTTCCAGAATGCTAAGATCACAGGCGTGAGCCACCGCACCCAGCCAGAACTACGTCATCTTAAGCAGAAAGGGATTTAATGTCAGGCACTTGGTGCTCACAAAGTCTGTGGAAAGGCAGGGGGAGTGGCCTGGGGCTGACAGCGGGAAATCCATCCCGGAACACACCTTGAAATTGGCCCACCAGCAGCGCCGGTGGGCAGGGGGGCCACCATCAGGCCAGTGCCTGCCAATGGGATACGACCCAGAGAAAATTATTTCAGTGGCCCCAGAATGTTTTTAAAATGAGCCATCATTTTAAAAAACCAAGCAACTTCTCTAAAGTACCAAGATTCTTTTGAAAAATAATCAGTCGCTTTGGCACCAGTGGGCTCCGTTTCCTCCTAGCTTCTGTGAGCTGCAGGGAGAATCCCAGACCCTCCAGGTCACCACCCTCTGCTTCGTCCATCTGTGCTGTCATCTGCCAGCTCGTGGAAGCATTTCTGCTTTTAGCCTTGATAGGTACGAGAAGCCAAAACACAGACTTCAGATCTTAATCACTGACTTAAGGAAAAGAGGCATGGAAGGTGCTAGAGAGAAATAATGCTATAAGAACTCCTCAGACTTAGTATCTCTACTTCCCCTGACCCACTAAGCACAACCCTAATTATTCAGTTGGGAAACGTCACCAGCAAACTGGAAAAAAATTGTCATATTTTCTTTTCTATCATTCTTTTTCCTTTAAAGCCCTCCTTAGTCCAACATAGCATTTCTTGAGGCAATAGACACTATTCTAAATCTCATCTGCCCTACTGAGTTTTAAAACCTGATGCAGATAGCCTAGAAAGAAAATGCATTAAAAACAAAAAGAAAAAGTGTTGACTATTGATGTGATATTTTACATGTGAGACTTTTCTGTTTTCTATGAGTCATTTTTCTGTTCAGGCCAAGTGGTTTGTTTTCCCATTTTGACATTCTGCTGTACATCTCTGTTCTAAAATAAGCTGTAAATATGTCAGCTAGCAGTTGTCATTCTGTCAGTCTTTTTAGAATCCTTAACTTTGCAAGGTATTGATTAGCCCAGGACGTCTCCCCACATCTCAATTATATACTGCAGTGAGAAACTGCTGTCTCTTAGAATTAGCCCTCTTTTTTAAGGATTATTCTTTGTAACATCAAAAACTCCAGTAGCAATCCATTCTCTTTTTTTAAAGGGTACTACAAAACTTGACTAGGAAGCAAAGAAAAAAATAATATCATCTTAAAAGTATATATTTAACGTGATGATTGAGAGTACATATTTTCGAGTTCCACTGTAGAGTCTTGCATTACAGCAGGCAGATCATAAGAATAACAAGAAACTGTCATGGGCACTTGCTTTCCAGTCAAATAGTGAGATTTAAGTTCTGAATTTTTGATACTTAATTTTTTTGCCTAGTAAAAAGTCTGCTCTTTTAAAAGAGATATAAATTGAGTGTGCTTTTTTTTTTTTTGGCTACTTAATAACTAAAGCATTTCTAGTAGGCAAAGTGTTGGGCTTATGTTAATGTCTACCTATGGTGTTTGTTCTGCAAGTCATTGGCAAATTTTGCTCATTAAAAATAGCACTGCAGCTGGAACCCGTACTACTAAGTGAAGTATCCCAAGAATGGAAAAACAAGCACCACATATACTCACCAGCAAACTGGTATTAACTGAGTAGCACCTAAGTGGACACATAGGTACTACAGTAATAGGGTATTGGGCAGGTGGGAGAGGGGAGGGGGGCGGGTGTATACATACATAATGAGTGAGATGTGCACCATCTAGGGGATGGTCATGCTGAAAACTCAGACTTGTGGGGGGAGGGGGGAAATGGGCATTTATTGAAACCTTAAAATCTGTACCCCCATAATATGCCCAAATAAAAAAAATAAAATAAATAGCATTGCATTGGCAACTTTTCTATCATAGTATTTAGTCATACTTCAAATCATCGGTAATAATCTAATAATATTAATAATTTTATAATAGGAACCAA